TCAAATTAAATGCAAACTAGAATTTGAATGTCTGCAAACATTGGCAAGAATCTGCAGCTAATTTTAGATGGAAGATTTGCAGTGTCTGTTGTTTTTCCTGTTCATCTTAGATGGGTAAATTGTAAAAACGTTGAGGAATCTGACCTGCTTTTTTTTTTTTCCTCCCTTTTTGTCTAGGTTTGCAAGGCATGCCAGGGGACTACGTATCTCAGGGTGGTCCTATGGGTATGAGTATGGCACAGCCAAGTTACACTCCTCCCCAGATGACCCCACACCCTACTCAATTAAGACATGGACCCCCAGTCCATTCATATTTGCCAAGTCACCCCCATCACCCAGCCATGATGATGCACGGAGGACCCCCTATCCACCCTGGAATGACCATGTCAGCACAGAGCCCTACAATGTTAAATTCTGTAGACCCCAATGTTGGTGGACAGGTTATGGACATTCATGCCCAATAGTATAAGGGAACTCAAGGGAAAAACAAAAACAAAACAAAACAAAAACAAAAACTATTTTAAGACTTTTGAACTTTGACCTGATGTTGACACTTAATACGAAATTCCAGACAGCTGTGATTATTTTTTACTTTTTGTCATTTTTCATCAACAACAGAGGACCAACGAAACAAGAACACAAATGTGAAATCATGGGCTCGCTGAAATGAATATGTCCATGTACAGATCCTCTGGAAAAAAAAAAAAGAAAAAGAAAAAAAAAAAAAAAAAAAAAAGACTCCAAGAGTTATAACTACTGTAGTATAAACATAGGAACTAAGTTAACTTGTACATTTCTGTTGATCACTCCGTTATGTTGCCTCAAATAGTTTTAGAAGAAAAAAAATCCTTGTTTTCCACACTATGTGTGTTGTTCCCAAAAGAATGACTGTTTTGGTTCAGCAGTGAAGTCACTATCCATGAAAGACCTGTTTTGGCCAGTGAGAAAAGAACTACCCTGGAGATGAAGATGAAAAGTCTTGCTGGGTCTCTCATCACTCAGAAGACTATTCCAAGAAGGCCTTGCCATTCCCTCGTTTTTTTCCTTCATAAAATGTGTCCTTTAGTTTCAAACAGATCCTTATAGTTTGTGCTTCATCAAGTCTCTCCCCATTCCTCCCCAGTCTATTTTTTTTTTTTTTTTTTTTTTTTTGACTCTTTTTAAAAGAGCTTGCAGGTGAAGATTTAAAAGACAGAAAAGACAGAGCAGGAGCTTCTTCCAGTAGTTCTGAGCCTTGGCTTTGGACAAAACAAAACTAAAAGTTGGGCAGCTTTCCTCAATGAAAGAAGTTACTAACGGTGTTTGCACCAAACCTAGAACTTTATCATGAACTCAAAGTTTGGAAAAAAAAAAAAAAGAAAAAAAAAAGAAAAAAAAAGCAAGAGAATACTGTAACAAACTTCGTACAGAGTTCGGTCTATTAATTGTTTCATGTTAGATATTCTATGTGTTTACCTCAATTGAAAAAAAAAAAAAAAAAAAAATTTTTTTGCTAGTATCAAATCTGCTGTGGAATTGGTATTTTATTTCCATAAATTTTTCCTTTCTCAGCACGTGTTCCTCACTCTGGTGGTGCAGCGTTAGCTTTAAGCTTTTTCAAAATTTACATTAAAATACTTGTATGAGGACTGTGACGTTATGTTTTAAAAAAAAAAAAAAGGTGTTAAGTCACAAAATGCGGTAATAAATATTTCATTTTTGATTTTTTGTTAGGCTTTTGTGTTTTTAATTATGCTTAGAAGAGACTAGAGTTACTATGGGAGAGACCTCAAATATATGTCTTCACAAATATTAAGAAGAAAGGTTGAAAAATCAGAAACAAACCTGTCATCAGCACTAAGAGAATAATTGGGTGAAAGAACATCTGTGATAATATTTTTCTGCTGATTATCAATATTATATTGATACCAGATTAAACAAAACTAATCTCTCACCAGCTTGTATTCCAGAGAGCTGTGTCTAATATCTGTACTGTCTGCTAATAAGATAGAAGCTCTGTTTGAGTTGTGAAGGCCCTGTACAAGACCAGTAAGCCCATGTGTGTTGTGTATGTGTCCGTGTATATGTATGTGTATGTGCATGCACCATCACTGCTGTTAAGCTCAGCAATGAGGAATGGCTGTAACCCAGGCATATGTTCACAAGTTTGGGGTTGAGAAAAGCAGCTTTGATTTAATGAGAGTTATACCTGTGTGAGGATTGCATAGCTAGCTTTGGGGATGGCTTTTTTGGTTTTTTTCATTGCCTTTCAGAAGAAAGGAAAAAAAAAAAAAAAAAAAAAAAAAAAAAAAAAAAAGAATGACCACTTACTAATGAAGGAAAATGCTGATTTAGTATTTTCAATATAAATAGCTAGTGCAGATCCATGGGTGAGGGGTAGTTTCACTTAAACAAAAGCTTGTGGCATTTTGAAGCAACTGAGGGAGAGTTTGAAATGGGATGAAATCATTGTTAGAAACATACCTCTGATGTCATGCTTTATGGCACTGGGGCCCAAAGATCAGGGAAGAGTTCTGCTTTCTTTCGAGGAGAAGGAGAGTGGGGAAGAGATGGAAGTTCTCCTAACTTTCTAGGAAACAAATGTGACCAATGGAATCATGTGTAGATCTCTAACCCTTCTCCTCCTTCCTCCTCCTCGTTCCAAATGGCTGGAGTGTTCTTAAAACTGTGACTGAAAACTTTTGCCTCTGGAATGCCGAAAGAGCTTCAGCCTCAGAGTTAATGTTTAATTTCTGAGCTGAGTAAGCTGACCCACGCTGCTGGCAACAGAAGGGAGGATGCCAGTGGAATGGATATGAGGATTTATTTAGCAGTCGGGTTCTGCGTTGTGGGCGTCTTTTTAAGGCACTCGTATGAAATGTAAAGGATGATAATTCCACACTTGGCTTTGGTGTTCTCTGTCCTGGTTAAAATCACATCGGGCTGAAAGAAGAGCACACCCCGGGTTCCTATTTTCAAATTCTGACCATTGAGGATGCGGAGAATAAGAAGGCAAGGTTTGTGGTGGTAACACTTTAAACAGGAGGCTTTCTTTTTAATCAGCACTTGGTTTTTCTGCAGAGCATTTCCTTACAGCTTTAGGAGAAATGATAGAGAATGTCCTTGCGCAGGTGGAAGGACAGGGAGAGATTTATCCATAGGAGATTGTTGGTTTTGTAATGAACCATGAATGTATTGCTGTGTTGTCTTTTATTTTCTTTCTCTTTTCCCCTTTGGGTTGTGCCCTTTGAGAAACGCATTGCTGAAATCCGAGGTACAATAACATGCAGAGATTTCTCCATCTGAGATTTACTGTTTAGCATGGAGGGTTCCGATTTTGGTATTTTTAAGAACTGCTCAGCTGTCAAAAGCAACCAAAACGGGAATAATGTTTTGACAGCGGTATAGTGTTAAAGAAAATACGCTAGTCTGAATAAAAATTGCTTATGCTGTGGGAAACGAAGGGTAACAGAAGAAACACCTTTTGTTTACACACACACATGTTTATAATCTGAAATCTCCGTTTCTCTCAGTGGGTCTGGGCTGGGAGTCGGAGTCAAAGCAAATGAGAGATTTTTCTTCCAGATTTAGCCACGGTTAAGGCGAAGAGAGAAGGGAAGCGGGCGCACCTCGGACGGGGCGCCCCGGCCCCGTCCGCCGCGGCAGCGGGGGCTGAGGGGCCGAAGAGGAGATGCCGGGGGAGCCAAGCGCTCCCCCTCTCCCTCCTAGCGGCAGAGCGAGCGACAAACTTGCCCCACGCCACACCAGGTTTGCCAGGGCCGGGGCCGGGAGGGGCTGGGGACGGGGCGTCGCGAGAGCGCGCAGCAATGCGCACGGGGCCGCGCAGCCGGGAGCTGCTCCGCGGCTCTGCCAGGGCCGCCCGCGGCAAACGCCGCCGCTTTCCTGGGCAGGGACGGGGCAGGGGCAGGGGCAGGGACTCTTCCGCCCTGTAGGGCTCCACGCGTCTCCCCGGGGGCAGCTTCGCGGGTGGTACCCAAACCTTCTGACAGAATCTATCTATCTATCTATTTATCTATCTATCTATCTATCTATTTATTTTTAATGAAACCCACTGTCCCTGAGCGAGGGGTGGCCTGCTGAGGATGACCGGCTTCTTTGAGCTGTGTAGGACCAAGCGGAGTTAAAGGTTGTGGGGGAGAGGCTGGAAGGCAGATTTTAATATTAATAGTTCTGGTGGCGAGAAAGAGAGACAGACGGAGGCTGCTGCTCTGGGCAGAGTCCCCTCGACAGCGATGATGGATGACCCCTCGCAGCCCAACAGCTCCGCCCCTCCGTCCCTCTCGGTGTCAGAGCCCTTCTACGTGCAGCTTTAGGAATAAAATAAATAAACACACTCGGCCCCTTCCTCGCATCGATTTATGGATCATTATGAATCAATTACTGCTTTCAATATTTCAGAATTTGCTTATATATAAAGGGAGTCTGCGGCCGGAAAGAAGCATTAATCTTAGCCTTAGAAATGCAGAACCTTCCTGTATGGCCCGACGACTACAGAAAAAAAAAAAAAAAAAAAAAAAAAAGGGGTTTTAACCATTTTCCGGCGGCAGCAGCGCTGGGGAGGCGGTAGCTGCTGTGACTGCGCATCTCTGCGAGCGATTTTCAAAGCGTTGTGCGTAGGGGATAAGCGATGCCCGAGACTTCGTGATTTAACTCGATAGGAAAAGAGGAAAAAAGAAGAAGCAGCGAGCCCCATGCCTTTCCCTCTGCAAATACCCAGTGCAGTGCAGTGCCCTGAGAGCGAGCGGGGCCGGGCTGCGCCGCGGGCAGAGCGCGGAGCGGAGCGGAGCTGCTGCGCGCTGTGGGAAGGCGGTGGCGGGGACAGGAGGGTGCGGTGTTGGACGCCTCTCGCTTTTTCTGTATTCTCCCATTTGCAGCAGTGTTTGAGGACCTTAAGGTGTTTCTATGGCTACCTTGTGTATGTGGGAGGGTCACATGTGGGGGTGCCCAAGAGAAAAGGCAGCTCTTGGGCGATCATTTATCAATGTCACCCACATAATGATTCTCTCTGCAGCCTGCTATTGATGAGGATAATTACATTAGCTCAGAGTGACTGATCAATGAAAAACCACCAAACAAAAACTTCTTTACTCTCCTATAATACCAAAAACCGATACAGAAATAAGATAGAAGGCGAGGGTGGGATTTCCCTTTCCTTTCCCTTTAGCAACGATCTTTCTCTCTTTCTCTCTTTCTCTCTTTCTCTCTTTCTCTCTTTCT